GAGGACAGGCAGGAGGAGTTCCAGTGTCTAGCCGCTGCTTCACCTCGTCTCGCGTCTGTACTGCTAGCCCCTGAGGGAGACCCGGATGCACTAGACATCCCGACTCCACGTTCTTACGCGGAGGCCGTAGAGGGTCCCTACTCCTCTCAGTGGCAGGCAGCTATGGATGCAGAGATGGCTTCCTGGAAGTCCACAGGCACCTACGTTGACGCGGTTCCCCCTCCTGGGGCGAACATCGTCAGTGGCATGTGGATCTTCAGGGTGAAGCGGCCGCCGGGCTCGCCGCCTGTCTTCAAGGCGCGTTACGTGGCTCGTGGCTTCAGTCAGCGGCAGGGAGTTGACTACTTTCAGACCTTCTCTCCCACCCCGAAGATGACCACTCTTCGGGTGCTGCTGCACATTGCCGCTCAGCGCGACTACGAGCTTCACTCTCTCGACTTCAGCACTGCGTTCCTGCAGGGTAGCCTGCACGAGGAGATCTGGCTGCGCCGTCCGCCTGGCTTCACTGGGACTTTCCCTCCTGGCACCCAGTGGAGCCTCCGACGGCCAGTCTACGGTCTCCGCCAGGCACCGCGTGAGTGGCACGACACACTGAGGACTACGCTTGCGGCTCTTGGGTTTGCTCCTTCTACTGCTGACCCGTCGCTGTTTCTTCGCACCGACACTTCCCTGCCGCCGTTCTACATCCTCGTGTACGTCGACGACTTGGTCTTTGCCACAGCGGACACTGCTGGACTCGCCTACGTGAAGTCCGAGCTGCTGAAGAGACACACGTGCACAGACCTGGGTGAACTGCGCAGCTACCTTGGCTTGCAGATCACTCGGGACAGAGCACGCCGCACCATTACCCTGACTCAGTCACACATGGTGCAGCAGGTCCTTCAGCGCTTCGGCTTCACGTACTCCTCGCCTCAGGCCACTCCTCTGCCTACTCGCCACTCACTCTCAGCTCTGCCTTCGGATGAGTCCGTAGAGTCGAGTGGTCCGTATGCAGAGCTTGTTGGCTGCCTCATGTATCTGATGACCTGCACTCGACCTGACCTTGCATACCCTCTGAGCATCCTTGCACGCTATGTTGCTCCTGGGAGACACCGACCAGAGCACATGGCTGCAGCGAAGAGGGTATTGCGCTACCTGTGCAGTACGTCGGGCATGGGGCTAGTGCTTGGAGGGCGGAGTCCAGTGGTCCTTACTGGGCACGCAGACGCTTCTTGGGCTGACGACCAGGCTACGCAGCGGTCGTCACAGGGTTACACCTTCAGCCTTGGTTCCGGCTCTGTCTCGTGGCGGTCTACTCGCTCGTCTTCGGTTCTCGGCTCCAGTTGTGAGGCTGAGATCTACGCCGGGGCCATGGCTGCACAGGAGCTTCGCTGGCTCACCTACCTGCTGACTGACCTTGGAGAGCTGCCTCGTTCTCCTCCAGTGCTGTACGTAGACAACAAGGCCATGTTGGCCTTGTGTCGAGAGCAGCGCTTGGAGCACAGAACAAAGCACATTGCTCTCCGCTACTTCCTTGCTCGTGAGCTGCAGCAGCGTGGTCAGTTGCGACTTGCTTACGTGGCCTCTGAGGCCAACACTGCTGATGTGTTCACCAAGGCACTTGCGCCTTGCGACCATCAGCGCTTTTGTACCCAGCTGGGTCTTGTACCTGTCTTGCCTCACTTGCTCTCTTCTTGACTTTACTTGTACTTTGACATATATATACCTGCTCTTGCTTGTCTAGTTTTATATATATGTCTTTACTCCTGCATGTGAACTGGCCTCTGGCCTTGCTCTTGTGCTCGGACTGTGTGGTGACTTTGTGATCCACCCTGAGCTTGTTTTGCTTTGCTTGACTGGTCTTGTGACCCCTTGTTCTCCCCCACTTTGCCTATGGGGGTGTGTCAGATTATTATAGCTGATGCATGTTTGTAGGCTATAGTGGGGTAGCACATATGGGGTACAGTTTGCTAGGGTTGTATTTGTACCCAACTCTGACTTAGTCAATTCATTCCTCTGCTCATAGTTTCACAGCCGCATCACCGGCGCTTGTGCTTGTGTCGTTTGGAACGATCAGACACGCGGAATCGCTCTCCTGGTGAGAGGTATGTGATCGTGAGTACATGCAAGCATGAGCTTGCATACGATCCGGGACTGCGTGAATAACAAAGCATGAGATTTCGCGATCTCTTAGTTGAAGTAGTCAAAATCGGTTCATTAATTCAGTCACGTCAAAATGGTGTTACTTCTATTTTAAGAAGTAAATGAACTAACACATAGCTGCAGTGAATCAGTTTGTATGTGTGTCGTAGTAGTGACATAGATTGGATGTATCAAATTAGTTCAGCATGTGAATATGTATTGTGTCATTGCTATGATTCTTTGCGTTTTGTTGTACAATTATGCATCTTATTCGCATTGTTCCATATTTGTCTTTCTTGTTTCTTTCTGTTGCTGATGCTTTCCTAATAGGCCTTGTTGTTTTCTTCAGGAAGTGAAGGTTAATCTGGATGGTGCAAAGATTCAGATTGTCTGTATAGGGTTATATGTATATTGCTAAGGTATAATTTTGCTCCTAGGTTTTTTTTTTCTAAACAGTTGATGCATTGAGCATTTTTAGTTTGTGTGAATGTGTGTGATTATGCGTATGCGTTTGTATGTGTCTATGTGCGTGTGTGTATTCGTTGTGTTGTGTGCGCATGTGCTTTCATTCATGCTTCCATTGCATTAATAACACATGTCCTTGTGTAAAAAAAAAAAAAAATGGATCAAACTATCATTTCCGAGAAGGTTTTTGCGCACTTAGTGAGTGTGTCCATTCGAACTGGATTTGATAGAATTGACCTTTTTTTTAGATCGCACAGATTGTGTTGTTTCATGTGACAGTTGGTTGATTCAGGAACAATGCTATTGAGCTCCCCCCCATGCTAGGCAGGGGATGTGGTAGCATAGGGTTTGGATCAATTAACAGTGACGCATTTTCATCATGCTATGCATTCATTTCATTGCCACAGTCGTATATGCAGCATAATTATGCATTCTTCATTCAATATTTAGTTCATCATATCATCATTATGCTTCATCTATGCATAACATCATCCGGCATATGCATTACGGAATTAATCGTCACCTGTGTCATAGTACACATAATTTCGGCAAAGGCGAACCAAGAACTGAGAAGGAATTTGGTACGGCACGTGCTAAATACATGACATTCAAGTCACTTAGTTACCGACACTACGGTAGATTTTTTCATCCTGATTTTTTCAGTGCACAGAGGATGAAAAAAAAATTGTACATAACGATCGAAATAGTTTGCTTCGCAACCCAAAAAAAAAGAGGTTGGTTGGCCCTTAATATGGTGGAGAAGGAGTTTTTCGTGCAGTAACTCTTTTCTTCGTAGGGTGCAATGTTGTCCCGTGAACAGTGATTCTTGTGGAATAAAAAAGTTGATTCTTGTTTTTTGAGAGAATCATTTTTTTCTTCCGTCTCACTAGGGCGGAAGCTTTCCGCTATGGGGAGAGAATACGATTAATATATCTCAGCGGACGAGCGACTCCGCCGGGCTGAGCTCGCTGCCCGCGGGGAAAAAAAATAAACCCCAATCGGACACGCATCCGGTCATGGAGGCATCAACCCTAAACACAGCGAGGCATGGATAGGTTTTAGTTTTTTCCTGCCCGGGGTAGCATATCGTCAAGTCGTCAGAGGGTCGTCAGGCTTGACGACTCGTTTTTGCTGGTAGATTCAGGACAGAAGGCGGCGCGGTCAAATTTTGGTGGTGTTCGCGCCGCTGCTGCTAAACACCTTCGCCTCGGTTTCCGAAAATTTAACCCTACAACCCGCACTGTACAGCCCTCATAATGCGAATAAAAGTTTCTGAGAAGTTGCGTCAAATTTGTCTTCCGTCCTTCCGTGGCTGCCGAACCGGGCCCAGACCTGATCTGTTCTGCTGTTGACTAGTGCCCTTTCTTCCCCTTCCATTCTGCATATCCTCCCTCTCCTCCACTCTGTTCCTCCCTGAACTACCAGTACCCATCGGAAACCAGCTACACCCAGCGGAAGAGTCGTTTATCCTTTCGGACACGGATGGGCGGGATGGGATCTTGCCCCCTCTGGTTGGGTGGTGTGGTGTGTGCTTCTATGGGGCCGTCTGTTGTTGTCACTCATGATTCGGTTGCGCTCAGATCAGCCGCACTTCACCTAGAGCCAATCAGCACCGTCTCGCTTCGCTGTTCCTTCGTAGAGCGCGCCGTCCTTGCACTAGCTGCTTTGAGTCCGATCCGACCCGACACAAGAGCCACAAGAATACGAACGACACGCCCTCCGTACCAACCAATTCATCCCGGCTATCTAATTTCTCTCTGAGAATTACCGGAGTCGTATAAGTCGGTGCGGTGCGGTACGCTTCGCAGGCGGTCGTCGCAGCGCGCGTCGTCGAAGTGGTTTTTGCGGAATCGTGGCCGTCGCTGGGCTGGGCGAGGCGATCGGTGCTCGTTTCACGACGGTCGCGGAGTCAATCGCTCGCCAATCCGCCGTTTCCCTCATCCGGCCACTGCTAGACGAGCGAAACACATTCTGTGAATCTGTATGAATTCGTTCGATCTGCAAGTCGTTAAAAGACTACCGCACCTACGTTCAGTCGATTTATAATTCTCGAAGCGGACAGGAAATTGCTCGAGCGGGGATCCCATACCTTTGCTTTAGCCTTGTTTTCCGCCTTCATTCCGTCGCAGTCACGGTGGCTTTCATATCCCTAACTAATTCACCCGTTAAGAGTTTCGTCCAAGACCTTGGGTGCTCTTAGCGGCGACACGTGGACTACTTTGCTCGCCAACCACAATTCGCCCATCCGTCGTTGCTTCGCTCACCGGCCGTTTCTGTTCGCCAACCAGTCGCTCCAATTCGCCAACCAGTCGTTCCAATCATTCTTGTAGGCGGATTTTGATAATTCTCACAAACAATTTCGCCCCTTCAGCGTCTTCCGCTTCTTCCGCCGACCGCTCCGATCCGCTTCCGCCATGCGGGGAGGCCAGAAGCGCCCGTCCGGCGCAGGCGGAACTCCCCGCGGGGAGACGGCGATGGGGACGCTCTTCATCCTCATCCTCCTCGCTATAGTCGGCTTCGCTGCAACGTACAGCGTGCTCTCCGCGCTCTCCCCGCCGCCCTCCATTCTGGTCGACGACGATCTGCAGCTTGAGGTGATTGGATTGTTGTTTCATAATGTGTTTTGGGTCATCTTGGCTCTTCAAACACTCACTTACTCTCCTCGCCGCCTTCCATCCTGGTCGACGACGATCTGCAGCTTGAGGTAGATGTTTGTTTTATATCTCTTTTTATCCGGGCAGGCACCTTGAATTTTACTGGAACACCTCATCTAGTGTTGCCTCTTCTTTGTGTGTGTGTGTATCTCTCTCTCTCTCTCTCTCTCTCTCTCTCTCTCTCTCTCTCTCTCTCTCTCTCTCTCTCTCTCTCTCTCTCTCTCTCTCTCTCTCTCTCTCTCTCTCGCGTCCACGTCAATTTCGAAAGTCTTCCGACCGCCTTGATACCCAAGGTGACGAAAGTGGGGGAAGCATCACTGCCTGTTATCGCGTGTGAGCTGGACTCTAGAACTGATCAATATACTCCTTCCCCTCTTCCCCTCTCCGCCGCTCTCCCACTCTCTCTACTTTCCGGCTCCTCCTCTCTGCCTCTCCACCGCCTCCCTCTCCTCTTCCGCTTTCACGGCCTCCCTCTCCCCTTGCCGCTTTCCCACGGTCGTATTTTTGAGCCTTGCCTCCACCCGCCATTGCCTACTTCCCCTCCCGTTCCCTCACACGTTTTGCTGCCTTCTCCTTCCCCTTCTCCTTCCCCTTCTCCTTCCCCTTCTCCTTCCCCTTCTCCTTCCCCTTCTCCTTCCCCTTCTCCTTCCCCTTCTCCTTCCCCTTCTCCTTCCCCTTCTCCTTCCCCTTCTCCTTCCCCTTCTCCTTCCCCTTCTCCTTCCCCTTCTCCTTCCCTTTCCCGTTACCCTTCCCCTTCCCCCTCCCCTCCCCTCCCTTCCCCCTTACCTTCCCCCTTTCCGTTTCCCCCTCCCTTCTCCCTTGCCCTCCCCCTTCCGCCTTCCCCTTTCCCCTTCCTTCCCCCCTAACCTTCTCCCCAGACCGCTTCCCCGGTCGACTCTGACGCGGCAGCAACCACAGGCGCGGGCGCGCAAGCGGGGAGCAGCAGCACTGGCGCGGGGGGAACGGGGGAGGGCGCGTCAGGGGGCGGAGGGGAGGATTCACGGGATTTCTGCCTGGGGGAGGAGCATCTGGAGCTGTGGGGGGATGCGGTGAAGTGGGGGAGCAATAACCCCACTGATACTGCCGCCGCCTGCTGCCAGCAGTGCAAGTGAGCGGATGGGAAGGGGTGGGGGGAGTTGGTTGGGTGGGGATGGGGGAGATGCTGGGAGGGGAAAACGGGGGGTGGGGGAATGGGTGGGAGCAATAACCCCACTGATACTGCTGCCACCTGCTGCCAACAGTGTGAGTGAGCGCAGGGGAAAGAGGGGGGGAGTGGGATGCGGCTGTGGTGGTGGGAGTGGGGAGGGTATTGCGGGAATGGGGAAGTGGGGCTCTTCCTGATGCCCTTCCCTTTCCCCTTCCCTTTCCCCTTCCCCTTCCCTTTCCCCTTCCCTTCCCCCTTCCCCTTCCCCTTCCCTTTCCCCTTCCTCTTCCCTTTCCCCTTCCCCTTCCCCTTCCCCTTCCCCTTCCCCTTCCCCTTCCCTTTCCCCTTCCTCTTTCCTTTTCCCTTTCCCCTTCCCCTTCCCTTTCCCCTTCCCCTTCCCCTCTGCGCCGCCTGTCCCCTGTGTTTCCACCACCCTCCCTCTCCCTTCCTAGAGCTGTCTTTCCTTTCTTTCCCACCTTATCCCACCCAACCCCACCCACTCCTACCCTCCGTTGTACATCCCTCAGGGGTTAACCTAGTTCGCTCTGACTCATGAACAGCACACGCCTCCCTCCATCCGTCTCCTTTCTTTCCTCATGTCGACCTTACACATGTCTTCGCCCCTGAATTTTTCCCTTTGACTGCCTGCATGCCTGCCTGCATGCCTGCCTGCATGCCTGCCTGCATGCCTGCCGTCCGCCCCCCTATTTAGTAAATTGCACTAAACTCGCCCTCTGCTGCGCTGCCTGTCTCTTGTTTCCCTGACGCCTTCCCCTTCGCTCCTTGCCCTCCCCGTCCTTCCTCCCCCCCCCCTCCTTCTGCCTCATTCCCCTCCCCCCTGCTGTTTTCCCCCGATCCACGTTTCCCCCGATCCACGTTTCCCCCCTTCCTCTTTCCTCCTCCCCTCCCGTTCCCCTCCCCTTCCCCTCCCCGGTTCCTCCTCTTATCGCCTCTGCGACCTGCAGGGACATGTGCACTGGTGCGGTGTGCCAGTGCAACGCATGGGTGTACTGCGGTAACAAAGAGCTCTGCAAGGATAACTACAGGCAGGTAGGAGACAGGGGGAAATTGGGGATAGTGGGGGGAAAGAGAGTGGGTGGGGGGGGAGGAAAAGTAGGGGAAGCGAGGGTAAGACGGGGGAAGAGGCGGTGAAAGGGGTGCGGAGGTAGGAGAAAGGAAGAGGTGAGGGATGGTATGGATTATGGAACAGATTCGGTTCCAATCTATTCCAAAGATGGGTGTGTCCAGCCCTGTCCCTTTCTTGAGACGTCTCAAAACAGATTCGGTTCCAATCTATTCCGAAGATGGGTGTGTCCAGCCCTGTGCCTGGCCCTACTGCTGTCTCGCCTCGCCTGTTACTACTGCTACAACATAAATCAGTGCCTGAATTTTTGTCATGACTGCTGGTTCTGTCTTTTCCTTGCAGTGCTGGCTGAAGTTGCGTGGCAGGGGCCTGGGGGTCGTTTTTGAAATCAAAACCCTTGCAACTGCCCTTGCAACTGCCCTTGCAACTGCCCTTGCAACTGCCCTTGCAACTACCCTTGCAACTACCCTTGCAACTGCCCTTGCAACTGCCCTTGCAACTGCCCTTGCAACTGCCCTTGCAACTGCCCTTGCAACTGCCCTTGCAACTGCCCTTGCAGTGCTCTCTCTCCACTTCTCGACCTTCTCCCTCCTCATTCCCCCTCCTCCTCCCTGCCCTTGTCCCTCCCCCCTTCCTCTCTCCCCCCCCCACACCCCCACCGCCCTGTGCTGGCTGAAGTGGCAGCCGCAGGAGGATTTAAGGCAACTGTTCTCTCCTGTTTCTCTCCTTTTTATCCCCAACCACTGTTTCTCTCCTCCCCGTCCCCGCCTCCCCTCGGTTCCCGCTCCCCCCCCCTCCCCCTCGATTCGTCCCTGCAGTGCTGGCTGAAGCGGCAGGAGGACGTGCTGAAGCCGGAGTTGTATGGTCCTCAACTCTCAACAAACAACCCTCTTCAACTCTCTAACCACTCTCTCCTCCTCGCCCCCCCTGCTCCTTGGTCCCCTATCTCTCCCTCCCCCTCCCCCCCCCCCCACCTCGCCTCGCCTCCTCCCCTGCAGTGCTGGCTGAAGCGGCAGGAGGACGTGCTGAAGCCAGAGGTCTATGGTAACAACCCGGAGATCCCATGGACGTCTGGGCTTGTGCATGGGGCAGGCAAGGTGAGGGGAGAGCGGGGGGGGTGGAAGGGATCAGGGAAAGAAAGGGTGGGGAAGTAAGGGGAAGAGGTGGGAAACGAGAGGGGAAGGTGGGATGGGAGGACGTGTTGAAGCCGGAGGTGTGCATGGGGCAGGCAAGGTGAGGGGAGAGGAAGAAAAGGGGAAAGGGAGGAAACGAGGGGAAGTGAGGGAGGAATAGAGGGAGAAGGGGGAACCTGGGCGGTAGTTCCTGCTTTCTCATCCCCTTTCTCATCCCCTTTCTCCCTCTCATCCACTGCATCCCTGTCCCCCGCACTCTTCGTGCGCTGTATGTGTGCTCTCATGTCATGGCAGGGCATCATCGCACTCCACACAGAGCACGGAGTCATTCGCATCAAGGTATTGCCACGCACGCCCTCACCCGTGTTTTGAGTCGAGTTTTGAGTTGTGTTTTGCCAAGCACGCCCTCATCCCCCCTTGCATCCATCCATCCATCCATCCATCCATCCATCCATCCATCCATCCATCCATCCATCCATCCATCCATCCATCCATCCATCCATCCATCCATCCATCCATCCATCCATCCATCCATCCATCCATCCATCCATCCATCCATCCATCCATCCATCCATCCATCCATCCATCCATCCATCCATCCATCCATCCATCCATCCTTCCTTCCTTCCTTCCTTCCTTCCTTCCTTCCTTCCTTCCCGCCTCTCCCACCGGTTCAATCTGCCTTGTAATACTACTACGCTAACCATCGTGTGTTTCTCGTCTAGTACTCAGTGATTTTTACTACTCAGATTAGTTGGATCGGTCGAACCGAGCTTGCAGCTTTCTGCCTGTTTTCTTCGTTTGAGAGCTCTGTCCCCATCTTCTCCTCTCCACACATGATCCCTTCGATTTCTCGTCTCTTCTCTCCGCTGCTTTCTCTTTCCCTGCTTCCAGCTCTCGCATTCCTCCCATCCCTCCCATCTCTATCCCCTCCCACACCCACCCAGCTGCTGCCCTCGTGGGCGCCCAAGACAGTGGGGAACTTCCAAGAGCTACTTCACCTCCCCTGAGCCACTGCACCGCATGTGCCACTCACCTCAACACCCCCCCCCCCCCCCCCCCCCCCCCCGTTCCTTCCCATTTCCCCAGCTGCTGCCCTCATGGGCGCCCAAGAGACAGTGGGGAACATCCATGAGCTGAGCTGCTGCACCTCAACTCGGCCACTGCACCGGCTGAACCTCTCAACTCTAACACCCCACCATCTTCCCGTTTCCCATCCGCCCCACTCCCTTGCCCACCCAGCTGCTGCCCTCGTGGGCGCCCAAAACAGTGGGGTACGTTCGAGAGCTGCTGCACCTCAAGTACTGCACCTGAGTGCACCCATCAACTTAAAGCAACACTCCGTCTTCCCCCCAACCCCACCCCAGCTGCTGCCCTCGTGGGCGCCCAAGACAGTGGGGTACATTCGAGAGCTGCTGCACCTCAAGTACTGCACCGGCTGCCAGCTGTACCGGGCAGAAGGGCTGGGGGAGGGGTGGAGCAAGGACGGCAGCAGGACAAGCAAGGTCAGCACACCATACCCTCCCACGTGTCTTGTGGCTTTCCATACCACTTATCATCCCTTTCTCTTCTTTCATTTCCCGCAAACATTCTTCGCTTGGGAAAGGGAGACTGCCTGTCCCTCTCATTGTTCTTCTCTTGCCCTCGCCTTTTTTCTTGCTTCCTCCTTTTACCGTTCCCCCCATTTTGTGCCTCACTTGCTGGTTCCGTTTCCATCTGACTCCTGTTTCTGTTTTTGAGTCAACTCAAAAACAGACTCATCACAGTTTCCCCTACTGTGTCCCTCGCTTGCTGGTTCCATCTCCATCTCTCTCTTGTCCTGTTTCTACCTTTCCTCGCTCCGTTCCCCTCCCTTAGCCTGTCCCTGTTCCTTTTCCATCCCCCATCCATGGCATCTCCCGTCATTTTCCTCTCCCTCCCCGTCCATCCTTCCCGTTCCCCTTTCGCCCTTCACCATGCCCGCCCTCCCCTCCCCGTCCCTCTATCTCCCCTTCCCAGCCCCCAGGTCCCCCGTACGCTCTCCTGCAGGGCATCCTCCTAACAGACGGCTTACTCTTCAAGCCCAGTTCTAGGGAATTGAGACGTCTCAGAAATTCTTTTTCCCTTTCCCCGGTTTCTTCCCCTTCCCTTGCGCCGCCTCCCCCTCCCCCAGCCCCCAGGTCCCCCGTACGCTCTCCTGCAGGGCATCCTCCTAACAGACGGCTTACCCTTCAAGCCCATCCCCCGCGAATCAGCCCCCATCGTCAAACGGGGAGACGTGTGTCTGGTAGGGGAGGGTCCAGACTTCTTTATCTCTCTCGCGGATCACACTGAGTGGGGCCACGCGCACACAGTTTTTGGGCGGGTGCCCGACGAGGATCTGGACGGGCCGGTTGCGAAAATTTTGGCGCTGCCCGTGAAGCAGGAGACCTGGGGCAGCACGAAGGTTTTGGCGCTGGAGAATCCGGTCGGGTTTGAGGTCAAGCGGGACACGAGTGGGATGCAGTTTTAGATTGCAGAAAGGGAGGGGGGAGAGGGGAGGGGGGTGAAGAGAGAGGAGAAAGAGAAGAGGGGAGAGGGAAATGTGGAGAGGGAAGTGGAGGAAAGTTAGGAGTGGGGGGGAAAGCGGAAGAGAGGGAGGGAGGGAGTAGAACAGAGACCATGGTTGCGTGTCTGATTTGATTAACATCCTTCGTGGCAGGAGTCTACAGTGGAGAGCAATGGATCATCATGATTCATGAGTGCACAGTTTGCGGGTTTGGATCATCTCATATAATAGACAACGGCTCGGAAAACACAGCTTCGCTATGGTTGTCGCGCGATATCAGCCAGATGGTTGAATGGTAGTGTTTGGTACTGCTGAATGAGAAATCATTGTACGGTAGATGAATGGCAAGATTCCACAGGGTGGTACATGCCCATGTCATATGGTGGTACATGCCCATGTGATATGGTGGTTTTGCCCATGTCATTAAAAAAGATACTAGCTCGAAACTAAGTAGAAGTATACTCATATACCTCAACGTCTGTACTAAATTATATCACTCTGTTTATATACCGACCCCCTCACACAAGGGGGTTGAAGAGGTACGCGAGGTCGGGGATGTCATTGTTGAAGGCCGGGAAGTCGGAGAAAGAGGGGTCCTCTGTGGAGGTGGAGTCAGAGGAGGATGGGAAGGCTGTTTCTACCTTGTGAAGAATGGATCTAGCTTGGGCACGCTGCAACGCCATCGATATGCGTAGGAGAAATGACGTCTCGAATGCTCCTGTAAGAAGGGTATTTGCTGCACCACGGTCCACGCGTCGAGCGGTTGCACGACGGCTACAGTCACGAAGGAAGGTCTTGAAGGTCGGTCCGAGGCAACCAAAAGTTTCCAGTGTTAGAGGCAGGAGTTTGACTGCAGGTCGGTCGTGAAGAGAACGAGCATAGGCGTGTCGCTTCTCTGATTCTCTCTGTTTGGCTGAAAGACCAATGGTGTGGGTTGCCATTGCCGGTGCCCTCTGCTGCTGTGGGTCTATGATTGAGATGTCAAGAGCCCATTTGATGCCTGCACATGGGTCAAGACAGCTGACATCCACAATATGGTCGGGTAGTAAGGTAGGGTCTTCAACACGAACCGTAAATCCTACTTCGCGTGCTATCCTGGCGATCTCGTGTTTGACAGCGTCATGAACTCGAGTGGGCTCATGTAGGTCGGGGCAGCGAAGGGCATGGCTTGGGAGAGTAGGGTCAGAGTACTAATGTCCGCAGGAGCATGGTGCTGCGGATTCAAGGAGGCGGAGGTGGGGAATGGGTAGTCCTAAACGTATCTCCGCAGCTATGAGCCAGTCTGATGTGTCAAGTAGTGAGCGAGGTGTGGAGGGTACAGCGGTGAGCCAGGCGCCGGCTGGTGGATCCTGAAGGGAGGTTAAACGGACCAACTGGTGGCGTTTGCTTGCCGCTGAACGTAGCTATTCGGCTGCACGTGCTGAGATACGCTGGGCTAGGGCTGAGAAAAGGTGGTTAGGGTAACCAGCTAGGAAAGCAGACCATGGTGGAACTAAATGTCGTAGATCGGCCGGGAGAGAAGCAAGAGCGCGAGGTGCTACAGAATCTAAGCGTTCTAGGTTGTCGGATGCGATGAAAGGGCGCAGAAAATTGTCTCCGTCGACCTTGCAGTTTGATGCGAGCACGGGTATGGCTTGTGCCCAGCTGCAAATGTAACTAAGAGACGCGTGTTGTTTTGCGCTGCGCAAACCGAAACCTCCCATGCGAATTGGGAGAAACGCCTGTTGTCTCGCGAACTGTCCCTCATTGGTATCTAGGTTCCAGCAGTTAGGAGGGAAAAGGGAGATAAGAGTGTCGAGAAGGTGGTCGTCCCAGTCGCTGTACTGTTCAAGTATATCGTCCGTGGGTGGTACTGTGCGTAAGAGGTAGGAGGGCTTGGCTGAAATACAGATTGCTAGCAAATGGGCAGCTATCTGTGGGTTTTCTAGTCGAGAAAGCCATGGTGCTACTGATCGAAGGGAAGCAAGGCGTTGTTTGACTTGTTTGGTGACGTAATCGGGCTCCCCTATCGGAACGCGTGCGACTGTAATGCCATTTTCTTGCATGGTGATGCCTGGAGGGAGCTGAAGAGTCCCTGGCCAGCCCTGTGGGGCCCAAGCTTGGCATTTGGCTGGCTGTACTGTGAGGCCTAGGCCGCTGAAATTCTGTTGTAAGGTGGTGAATGCTGTGACTAGGCGGTGGGGAGGGCCGAGAAGATAAGTGTCGTCAGCGTATGACATGCACAGGATCTCGGGAAATGTTGTACGAAGAGGTCGAATGGCTAGTTGCTGCGTGAGTGCGTATAAGAAGGGTCCGCAAGGATCCCCTTGACGCACGCCGCGTTCGGACATGAGTTGGCGTAGGAGCGGTCCGGAGTGGAAAAGGAGTGGTGAGGGTGTGGCGTAGAATAATCGAAAGAAAGGAATGAGAGAGGAGAAGTCGGATGTTTGAAGTGCCTCGAAAATAGCGGAACGGTGTGAAGAATTGCCCAGTCTGGGTGGAGTTCTAAGGCGGAACGGATACCAAAGATCAGCGCATTGATTCCGCCTGGTGTGCCTACTCCTAGCTGGAGGTCAGGTAAGAAATGTGATTGCATCTGGGGTTTGAACATGAGTGTGATGCAACGAGAGAGGAGGCGTATGAGGACTTCGCCAATGGCGATCGGGCGGACGTCACCGTTCGATTTTCTAAGAGCAATGAGAGTTGAAGCGGTGAGATAAGGGCGAACCCGTGGAGGTAACTATCCGGCAAGCCAGTTATTGAGGACTTTCTGTAGGAGGGGTAGGTAAGAGGGGTGAGCTAAGAACGTATCGCGAAGGTGTTCGGCCATCCACCCTGAGTGACCAGGGGCTGTCCCTCTGGCCATGGTGTGAATGGCTTGCTGGAGAATCTGTAATGGAAGTTGAGGGTACTCCATCGGGGTAAAGGAGTTCACCTAGGGAGGGATTGGTTGAGATGCTGGGGGATGCTTGGCCTGAAGCCTGTCTAGCGTGTCGGTGGTTGGGGGCGCTAGTTCTCCGGCCTGAAGTGCTGAGCAAGCACGGGACCATTCTCCTACTGAAGCAAATCGAAGTGTACGCTGGATGCGAGCGCTGTCTGCAGGAGAAATGCTGTCCTGTGAGGTTGAGCGCGCAGATATGATGCTAGGAGGATGCGTTGCGGGGGTATAAGAGGCTAGGGTCTCTTGGAAAAGTTCGAGCCATTCTCCTTTTGAGAATCTGTTTGCATGGTCAGTGCAAGACTTCGCTTGAGAGATAAGATTGTCAGTGTCAGGTTTGCGAAGGACTAATCGTGGGAATGCGATGAGTAGGAAGGCTGCACCTTCGTCTAGAGGATTGTCCGCTAATCGCTGTAGTATGGGGAGAAGAGCTTCTAAGACTGGTATTCGAGATCGGTCTGGAATCCTGCGTAGAAGTACTGGTGAAGCATATTCAATCGTAAAAAATCTGTCCCATGGCCATGAAGATAAGGCTTGCCATGTGTCTTCTGCTATGTCTTGGTGGGGGTGTTCTGTGGCTAAAGGAACGGGAGTGAGTTGAGCTTCTATTTGAGACTTGTGCTTATCGGCAGCGGCTTTGCATGTTTTCTGGTGCTGCGTGAGGGTACGAGGTGTCGAGCACGTTTTGGGACAGTGTTTACATCGGTACACATGATGCCCGACCAGTGCACGCGAATTTGCCATGCACCGGATGGACACGCTGCCCCCGAACTCGAAACCCCTGCTTGCTGCACCCCATGTACAGGCACCTGGATGGCCTTCTACAGTGCACCCGGCTCGGTCTCTCCCCCACGTGCAGACCACAACAAGCAGTGCCGACCCATGTTTCCCCTTGTTTCTAGGCCAGGCGCGTGCCTGACGAAACGAATGGACGAAATGACAATCGTTTCGTAAGTGCATTCGCCCACCTGACCCGCCATCGAGGCGAGTATCATGGTGCGTGTAACAGACATCTGGGCTGGTGCATGCTGCGACGTGTACTCCGCACTTTTGGGGTACAAGCCCATTAACAACCAGGCATTGTTCGACCACCCGACGTCAGATTTGCACTATGGTGGTAACCCATCCACATGTCCGACATTGTTAGCAACGAGCATGCAACGAACACCCACCACACAAATTCAACCCAGCCAATCCGAACAGGCCCCAGCAACGATCATCCTCGTTCGCCAAATGAAGATAAAAAACGATTAGCAAATTCACTAAAGCATCGCCTTCACCTTATCCCCCACAGCACGCCCACCATGCCGCGACTTAATCGCCGTGAGCAGCTTCCGCTGCACATCAAGCGCGCATTATGCGCGCATCACGTCGAGCACCCCCTTCTGCGTCACGTAGACTTGGCCCGCTGGGTTTACGCCCAGTATGGCCTGCGGCCTGATCGCTCCACGGTCGGACGCATTTTGAAGAATGGCGACCGTTGGGCAATCACCGACCCCGCCGCCTCCAATCAAGTGCGCCGTCGTGGTGGCGCATGGCCCGAGCTTGAGCAGGCGATGGCTCGCTGGATCGCTAACGCTGGCCCCGCAGGCGTACCACTCACTCTGCAAACGATCCGCGACCACGTGGCGATTATGGCGCGCAACATGGGCATTCCGCCCGTGTTTCGATGCTCCATTGGCTGGGTGCGCCGTGCGTTGCGGCGCCAGGGAGTGCGGTGCCGTGCCGCCACCGGCGAGGCGGCGAGCGCCGACATGGCTGCTGTGCGTGAAGCGCGTGAGAAGGTGCCGGCGCTTCTTACTCACCTCGGCTACCAGCCGCGCGACACCTTCAATCTTGACGAGACAGCTCTGTGGCTCTCTGTGCTGCCCCGAAAAACATACAGCAACGCCCGCATTCCGGGGCGCAAGGTCGCGAAGGAGCGGCTGACCGTCGCGTTTCTCGTCAACGCCGACGGCAGCCATGTTTTCCGGCCGCTCGTCATCAGCAAGGCGCGCCGTCCTCATGACTTCCGGCCGGACTACGACCCCGAAGCCGTCTGCTACTGGCGGCATAACGCCAAGGGCTGGATAACCAGTGCGGTAAGTGTGCACCCGGCCGTGTAATTCTATTTGTGCATGTGGTCTTATGTTACTTATGTTAATTTATAGTTTTCAGTGCACCCCCCCCCACCCTCCATCCCAATCCGACCCCCAACAGTTGTTCACCAACTTCATATCGCAGCTCAATGCCGCGATGTATGCCGAAGGGAGGGAAATCGCGGTGCTGCTCGACAATGCTAGCTCCCATATTCTGCGGGACAAGTGCGCGTGGAGCGAAATCGTCTGCGGCATGCGGACCACCCGCCTCAGCAACGTGCGCCTCATCTTCCTGCCGCCGAACACAACCGCCTTCACGCAGCCGCTCGACCAGGGGATAATCGCGACCGCGAAGGCCCGCTATCGCTAGCACTGGCTGCGTGCCTTCACGGCGCTGTGGAACGACGACGGCGCAACAAGCGCCGTCGCCCGCTATCGCCCCAATCTGCGCGATGTGCAGGGGTGGCTCTCAGACGCCTGGATGAGTGTCGGTGCGCGCACCATCCAGAGGTGCTTTTGGCGCACGGGCTGCATGCCTCTGTCGTGGTCCCTGGAGCTCACCCATGTGTATGATGATGAGCCGACCCCCCTGGCGTACCCCGACATTGAGCTCGACGACGACATCGACGACGTCGGCGAGCTCATTGGCGGACTCGGCCTCGGCACCGGCGCAATGACCGCCGCCGAGTACGTCGCCATCGACGAGGGCGAGCCGACGTGCGCGGAGGCGACAGCGGATGATGCGGACGTGGGCCTAGTGGCGGAGCTATGGAGGGCGCCTACCACGATGCAGGCCGTGTATGACGAATCCGACCCAATCGGCCGTGAAGCGCGGCGCACGGCACGGGCGGCCAGCGAGATGCTCATCGGCTACGCTCGCGCCGTGAGCGTGACGCCGCGCGACCTTTGCCACCTGTTCGACATTCGTAATCCGATCATTAGGGAGCGTTTGGAGCGGGCAAGCCCCGCGCTCAATCTCAACACGGCCCCGCCGCCGCGGCTTTCGCCGACCGTAACTCCGCCGCCTGACACCCCGCGTCCGAGGGGCCGAGTGCTGCCTGGCTGGATGACCCAGCCGTCCCGCCGTCAGCAGCTTCTGGACGCCGGGGTTGGCGCCGCGATGGGCGGGTACGTGGAGGCGGCAGAGTGGATGCATGTGTGAATTCGTTTAGTGGAGTCATGAGCAGTCGAAAGTTAGGATGGTGGAGTTTTTGTGGATTTGCTATGTGTTTGGATTGTGCACGTAACGGGCACAATTGCAGTAGAGGGGATGAGGGGCCATGTGGTAGTTCGTGATTGGCCCGGCTTTGTGTGTCAGCTGTTTCAATCTAAGTTGAACAAATGTTGATGTTGCTACACGGTTCAGTTTTGCTTTCGTGTGGATTTTGGTAACGCGCACTTGTGACAACAGGTGCCACCCGACACTGTTACATAACGGACAAAGCGAGTGGTAACCATATGCGCGTTAGATGCACGCGCAAAGCCTGACGAAACCCTTGACGAACCGACGAAATGCAGTTTTAGCTTACAGACCCCCTTCACAAGGCAACCGGGAGGGGCTCTAACGAGCATTAGCTGTATACAGGTGGCACAGGTGGTGGAAGTGCAAGTGGAGTGGGTAAAAGCGGGCGGTCGCATGGAGTGACTGTTTCTGTCTGTGGATGGCTAGTGGAGGCTTTGTCGTGAAGTTGAGATTGGTGATTGTGAGAGATAAGATTTGAAGAAGGCGAAGTAACTAGGCGAAGTGTTGTTCTCGCCAGGTCGTCTATAATCATAGGTGATGGGTTTGTCAGGTCGGTGGGGATGTTTCGCTGTAAAGGATTTGGCGAGTTGTCCTCTGTTGGAATAACCTAAAGGTTATATAAAGCATTCCTGAAGCTGTTCCACTGTACCAGTACCGCAATAGCTTATATAGAGCATGCGGAATGTCGAGGGTCACCCGAAGGTCAACCGTCTGAGGAAGTCAACGGTCGTGACCCTTGACAATCCAGTAACCGCGCGACAGTTAATTCACTGCAACATGGTAATTGTCGAGGATAGCAATAGTCACGGTTACTGTAGCTATGCAATACAGTTAATAAGGGAATGTACCCCTCAGAGTACATGGCTAGCTAGATTTCTATTTAATCTCTTGTACTCCTATCTTTCAATCATCTTGTTCTCTTACAATTATTACTCAACAAGGTCACTACAGAGACTTCATTGTCTCCTCTCAGACTTGACAGATTCTATCCTATCCACTGGATCCTTGGTTATATCAGCATGGTATGAGAGCTAGAGTGGATTACACGATCTGTCAAGTCCTCGTTCTTCTCAGAACAATCCCTTTATAAAGTTATTCATCACACCTCAAAGTCTGCAATACTATGGCTCCTGAAGGAAAAGTTACTGCAGACTCACCGGGCCCACCACCAGCAACGACTAACGCGCCATCAGCGGTGACCTCCGTCAGCGCCGCTGTCGTTGAGGAGCTAGTCGCACGCATCAACGCCCTTGAAAGCCATCAAACAATGAGCGTTGATGGCTCAAGCTATGCACGTGGCGTTGCTGGACTTCCTCTCCCTGGAGAAGACCGCCGCGTCAACTCCGAGAGATCCTTCACCTTTGACAATCGTCAAGAGTCAGCTCCTGTACAAGACAACCCACAGCGCTCACAGTCAGACATTGCCTCAATGCAAACCAAAATTGTATTGACTTCAAAATTGAAGACCATGAGAACGAGAGAATGAATCAACTATGAAATGAGTGAGTACAAGTACTAACCCTAATTGGGTTGTACCCCCTATGGGATACCCCACTATAGCCTACACAAATGTATAAGCTATAAAGCATTCTGACACACCCCCATAGGCAAAGTGGGGGAGAACAAGGGGTCACAAGACCAGTCAAGCAAAGCAAAGCAAAGCAAGCTCAGGGTGGATCACAAAGTCACCACACAATCCGAGCACAGAGTCAAGGCCACACGCCCAGTTCACATGCAAGAGTACACACATATATATAAAGCTAGACAAGCAAGAGCAGGTATATATATATGTGAGAGTACAAGCAAGGTCAAGAGGAGAGAAAGTGAGGCAAGACGGGCACAAGACCCACCTGAGTGCAGAAGCGCTGATGATCACAAGGCGGAAGTGCCTTGGTGAAGACATCAGCAGTGTTGGCCTCAGAGGCCACGTACGCAAGCCGCAACTGTCCACGCTGCTGTAGCTCACGAGCAAGGAAGTAGCGGAGAGCAATGTGCTTTGTTCTGTGCTCCAGTCGCTGCTCTCGACTCAAGGCCAGCATGGCCTTGTTGTCTACGTACAGGACTGGAGGAGAACGAAGCGGCTCTCCAAGGTCGGTCAGCAGGTAGGTGAGCCAGCGAAGCTCCTGTGCAGCCATGGCCCCGGCGTAGATCTCAGCCTCACAACTGGAGCCAAGAACAGAAGACGAGCGAGTAGCTCGCCACGAAACAGAGCCGGAACCAAGACTGAAGGTGTAACCCTGTGATGACCGCTGCGTAGCCTAGTCGTCAGCCCAAGAAGCGTCCGCGTGCCCAGTGAGGACCACTGGACTTCGCCCTCCAAGCACTAGCCCCATGCCCGACGTACTGCACAGGTAGCGCAACACCCTCTTCGCTGCAGCCATGTGCTCTGGTCGGTGTCTCCCAGGAGCAACATAGCGTGCGAGAATGCTAAGAGGGTATGCAAGGTCAGGTCGTGTGCAGGTCATCAGGTACATGAGGCAGCCAACAAGCTCTGGGGACGGGCCACTCGACTCTACAGACTCATCCGAAGGCAGAGCTGAGAGCGAGTGGCGAGTAGACAGAGGAGTGGCCTGAGGCGAGGAGTACGTGAAGCCGAAGCGCTGAAGGACCTGCTGCACCATGTGTGACTGAGTCAGGGCAATGGTGCGGCGTGCTCTGTCCCGGGTGATCTGCAAGCCAAGGTAGCTGCGCAGTTCACCCAGGTCTGTGCACGTGTGTCTCTTCTGCAGCTCGGACTTCACGTAGGCGAGTCCAGCAGTGTCAGCTGTAGCAAAGACCAAGTCGTCGACGTACACGAGGATGTAGAACGGCGGCAGAGAGGTGTCGGTGCGCAGAAACAGCGACGGGTCGGCAGTAGAAGGAGCAAACCCAAGAGCCGCAAGCGTAGTCCTCAGTGTGTCGTGCCACTCACGTGGCGCCTGGCGGAGACCGTAGACTGGACGCCGGAGACTCCACTGGGTACCAGGAGGGAAAGACCCAGTGAAGCCAGGTGGGCGACGCAGCCAGATCTCCTCGTGCAGGCTGCCCTGCAAGAAAGCTGTGCTGAAGTCAAGAGAGTGCAGCTCGTAGTCACGGTGAGCAGCAACGTGCAACAGTACCCGAAGAGTGGTCATCTTCGGGGTGGGGGAGAAGGTGTGAAAGTAGTCAACTCCCTGCTGCTGACTGAAGCCACGAGCCACGTAACGCGCCTTGAAGACAGGCGGAGAACCCGGCGGCCGCTTCACCCTGAAGATCCACATGCCACTGACGATGTTCGCCCCATGAGGGGGGATAGCGTCAACGTAGGTGCCTGTGGACTTCCAGGAAGCCATCTCTGCATCCATAGCTGCCTGCCACTGAGAGGAGTGGGGACCCTCTATCGCCTCCGCGTAAGAGCGCGGAGTCGGGATGTCAAGTGCATCCGGGTCTCCCTCAGGGGTAAGCAGTACGGACACGAGATGAGGAGAAGCAGCTGCCAGACACTGGAACTCCTCCTGCCTGTCCTCAAGGACGTCCGTGCCAAGAGCACACTCACCCCCGACAGACGGAGGACAGACAGACTCAGACTCAGCGAGAAGACTAGCAGCGTAGTCTAGGCGACAGTGAGCAGCAAAGTCGACGAGCTCAGCAACTAGGGCAGACGCAGCAGTGGACTCGAAAGAAGGGTCAGTGACAACAGTAGCAAGGAGACGCGTGACAGTAGGACTGGAAGCACGAAGAGAGTCCGACTCCGGGTCGGCAAGAGCAGGAAGAGAGGACTCAGGAGGAGAAGGCAAAGGGGCACGCAGAGGAGCAGTGGACGGACGCAGAGACATCCGGTGCGTGCCAGGGACAGGAGGAGGACGCTGACGCGAACCGCGACCACTAGTGCGAGCAGCACGGACAGGCGACGCAGGGCGAGACGCAGGCTCACGACGCTCAGCCAGACCTCCAGTAGGACCAGTGTAGGGAGAAGGAGCAGGCAAAGGGGAGGTAGGCTGCAACTGTAGCTGGGACGGGACAGGCTGTGGACACTCTAAGGGAGGAGGAGGACCAGTAGAAGATGGAAGACCAAGAACCTGCTGCAGGAGTGGAACGAAGTACGGTCGAGGCCGCGTGGCGACGCCAGAAGCAGCAGGGACAGCACCAGAACCCTCAGCAGGAGCACACGCTCCAGCAGCACCACCAGTAGCTCCAGAACCTCCAGCAGCACTAGGAGCACCCCCAGCAGGACCGCCAGCGGTAGTCTCAGCGCCAACACCCTCAGCAGCACCAGCTCCAGTCGACCCCGTAGGTCCAGCAGCTCCAGTGCTCCCAGTACGAGCACCTCGGGACCCGCGACCGTAGCACCCTCAGTAGCCAAAGGACCTCCAGCACCAGCAGTACGACGCCAACGCCGGGCAAACCACTCACGCAGCTCCTGTGGAGAGAGTGGCTCCCGGCGAGACGAAGCACTCGGAGAACCTCCTGGCGGAGCACCTCCAGGCTCAGCACCCCCAGGCGTAGCACCTCCAGGCTAAGCACCCCCAGGCATAGCACCTCCAGGCTCAGCACCCCCAGGCGTAGCACCCCCAGGCTCAACACCCCAAGACGTAGCACCCCCAGGCTCAGCACCCCCAGACGTAGCACCCCCAGGCTCAGCACCCCTAGGCTCCGCACCCCCAGGTCCAGCACCCCCAGCCTCAGCACCCCCAGCCTCAGCACCCTCAGCAGCACCAGAGTCACGAGTGACCTCGACAGGCTCGATTGCGTCTACCTGGGATACACCTGAAGGGGCAGGACCATGAGGGGGGAGGGGGTCTACTTGGGGGGGACCTGGTACCAGGAAGAGTGGGGGTGGGGGGAGGGACGGAGTGCGGTAGGGGAAGAGGCGGTAGTAGGGGACCGACTCGTCAAACGTGACGTCCTGGGAGGACAGAACACGTCGAGAGGTGGGGTGGTAGAACTGCCACCCAGGTGCG